GACTACAACATTCAAGGTCCCTCCCACCCTCAGGTGCTGTCTGGGAGAGAGGAAAGAAGAAAGCAAGAGAGGAAGGAAGGTGTCTCACATGCTGCAGACTCTTTCACTTCACTCCCCATGACTCTCGTATGTGAACTCATGTCTGCCAGCCAAACTGAACCAAACCTCAGTGCCCCACTGTGCGTCCTGAGTGCCCAGCTTTGGCACTCTTATGTGGCCACTTCCTCCATCCTGTAGGGCTGGTTATTAGGGGTGCACATCTTAGCCCTCTGAACAATACACAAATTCCTTGAGAATATGGATTAAGTGTCAGCCATTCCACAATTCCAGGCTCATTGCATTCCATCCACATGGTAGATGCCCACAAAAGCTGTTGAATGAATGAATGAATAATGAATGATTGTATCATTTTTACACAGTAGTTTATGTTATGCCATATCCGTGTCTGAGCTAACAACCACATCATTGTCAGGTTCCATTGTCACCTTTAATTATGAATTACAGGCAAAAATGCAATCCTCAGGAATGTTTTTTTAAGCAAAGGGCCCTTAACTTTTTCCCAGTTGAGTATTTATGCCAGCTTTCTCCCTTACACAAAGCAGAGCTCTGCTAAGAATCTGAGCCTCATCTGATTGTTTTAAAATAGTCCTTGTCCCTTAACTTTTCTTTTTAAACTTTCTATTTCGACATAATTTTTAGATTTACATGCAGTTGTAAGAAATAATACTGAGATATCCTATGTACCTTTCACCCAGTTTCCCTCAACAGTAACATCTCATAAGTATAGTACAGTATTTATACTGTAGATAGAAAATTGTTGTAGATACAAGACATAAATCACTGACCTTATTCAGATTTTAACAGTTTCACATTGCACTTGTATGGGGGTGGGGAGTTGTGGAGTGAAGGGTAGATTAATGACACAGATTCTTCTAAAGCCAAGAAACATAATAGTTTCAAAAAAGAATATTCCTTGAATATTGAAAGCATTTTTCTTATTGATGCTTTCTGTATTTAGAGTGTCCAGCTTACCTGCCTGCTCTAAAGGCCACTAAATATACTGACTGGCACACTTACTCTGTAAGTGAACTAGCAGCAACTGTGGTTGGAATTGGATCTTCTCTTGCCTCGTCTTCTCCACTAGCTCTTTGAGTGTGCAGGTACACACACACACGCACATTTTCTGCTACTTGCCTTTTTTTATGCCTGAGTACCTTGCTGACAAGTGCTAATAACAAAATACCCAGAGAGAGTCCACTTGAAGTTAACATACATTAAGCATTCTGAACTTGTCCTTTTGCTCATAGATTGTGCATAATTAATAATTAAACAGTTTCCGTTGTAATGGTTTGACCTTCTTGAACTGTTCATTATTCACAAGGCAAAGGCATCACTCAAACTTTTTCCTATTGTCCTTTGCTGTTCTCTAGCGTGCTGCTTGCTTGTGTTCCAGTTATTTAGCAGAAGGGGCTGACCAGGTACTTACTGAAACCTCTGAGGCTTGGAAACTGTCGTCCTTGATGAGCAGAATTGCTTACTAAAATGGTTTATGTAACAGTTGCCTGCTTGATAACAAGACCCAGCTTGTGTCCCTTCAGAGGGACTCTAAAGTTGATTTGAGACTAGACTCTCAGATTGAGGCTTTTGGTTAAGGTTGTGTCCACTGCTTCATTCTATATCTCCGTGCTTAGAAGTTCAACAGAAAAGCATCCGAAAAAAGGCCCTTAAGGTGAAGTATGGCACCCAAGATCTTAAAGAGAGTGACTTTCCTTAACAATTTAGAGTCAGTGTCAGCCAGTACTGAGAATTACCAGTGTAACTGCTTCTTCAACCCACATTTATATTTTTGAAATATATTTCTCCATCTTGCCACAACCTATATTTCATAGAGGGCATTTTTGGGAAGTAGCAGCAACTACTTTACTAGAGTCTCTGAACCCCTTGGGATGATTGGATACTTTCCCTTCCTGTGAGCTACAGTGAAACTGGAGCGCAAATTTACTATATGCTTCCCTCCCTCCTCACAGATTTGAATTAGATAACAAAATAGGCAGGTTCTTGGAGATCTTTCACATCCTGATCAAAACTAACTTTGTAATTTTATTTGCTTTAAAAAGAGAAAAGTGCTCTGTAAAATCCTGTAGTGCAGTGCAGTGAACACTCTCAGATATATTCATTTGCTTTCCTACGGAGTTTTAACAGCCTGCATACTTCTGTGGAGTTGGAGGCTCTCAGAAAATGCCTTTGCCCAGTATTTATGTGTGGCGTTCTCACCATCCCCTACCACTCAGTCTTCTGCATCTCAGAAAATTCTCCCTTGAGGAATGCAAGAGATGTGGATTTTAAAACAAAAATAAATATCTGGCATTGTGCATGTGAGATTAGAATTTCCTCCACATCTTTGATGAGTGATTCTTTCCAGGCACCACTGAGATGAGAATACACTTGCTGTGGTTCTGCAAAGTCGACTTGGGCTGGCATTTTCAGAAGTGAAATAAATTATTCATGGGTACCACCCAGTGTTCCTTAGTTTTATAATATGAGAAACTTAACAGGCTACCATATCAGGTCTTAAATAAAATTAACTACCCATGCAAGATGTCACATTTCCTCATTTTGTTTCTCATCCGTTTTTAAATGACATCTTCATCAAGTTGCTTGTCTATAATTCATTAATTTACTCTTGGTATCATACTTTGAAATGAGGCCCACATTAGCATCACGTTTTATACCAGATCTCTGTAGAAAGCCAGCCCAGAATTTTAACCATCTTGGTAAATATTGAACCACATTAAGATAGCAGGCCTTTATTTTCCTAAACATTGCAATTTAGAGCAACTACTACTCAACACTTTCAGTACTGTACCCTCAAAAAAAAAAAAATCTATAAAGGGATGACTTAGAGAAGCTTCCTCACTGATCAGAGTCTATAATTTTTGCACCTCAGACTTTGAACTATCTTTTTACTAATGGTTTTTGAGACAGTAAAATGTCGTTTCTTCAGCTGGGCCTTGTAGAATCTTACAGGCTTGGTGATATATATGGCTTTCTGCAGCTGAAATTGATATCGTGTTTTATTTTTGCTCTTCAAACCGATGGGACTTCTGTGACCATTTTATAGCACCTTTATTGAGGACTTGTCATGTTATTTCGTGTCTTGTTTCTTTTGAGTGGACTGTTTCATCAGCCACCCATCCACCCCGTTTTTCATGTCCTCTCTGTGTCATGCCTGCATGTAATCCTTTGAACTTGGAAAGATTTTATTTCACTCCCATTTTTCCTTTGTTATCTTTTCCTCTTGGAACCCTTTCTCTACTGATGAGAATTTTAATCTTAGAATTACTAACCATTCCTTCTTCTGGATGAATAGACTAAATTCAAAGAGGACAGATATGCAAAAACCAAGAAACATTTTGTTCATGTTTCTTTTCTTTTAGCCTCTTCCGGTTTTTTGTTTTTTTGTTGTTGTTGTTTTTTGTCTGCCTTGACCTCCTTAGTTCCTTTTGATTTAATTGTATTTTCAAGCAGTTTCCAATTGTTTGAATTGGAAACAAAGCTTTAATAAGAGTTCTAGTTAATTTTCTGTCTTGTAATTACCGATCTCATTTTTCTGATAATTGGCCACAGCAATTATATGTATATTTACTAATCACATAGGAGGCTGTGCAATTTTATCTATCTGCCACCATTGATAATGACACGCATATTGCAGAGGTGCTTTTATCATCATCTTTTTTCCACTACATCAAAGCTATTTCCTCTCGTTCTCAATAATGAATACATGCATGCATTTGACACAGTTGTGTGCTAGAGAAATTGTTTGGCTCCCACCAAATGCTGCATGCTCTGAGTTTCTTGCCTGCAGCGCTGGAAGGTTGTATGTAATGATATATTGCTCATCCAAATGGCCAAAGCACTCCAAAGCACAGTGAGATTAAAATAAGTCATTCCTTTGTTAATTTAAATAGGTGCATGTATCATACTTTGCAGGGCACTTTGTGTAGGGATGTCAGGGAGGAAAAAAGCCGCCGAAAGGTATTTTTAATAGCAAATGAGAATAGATGAGAATGGAGTCATTTGCAGCTGCCTACTTTATGTGGCTCTCTTGTTCCAACTGTAGGTCTAATGAGATGACTGTTAAAGTACTCTGCAGTGTAATTTCATTACATCCTGAGCTGTTACACTATAAACACAGTGGCGCTCTCTGTCATTCTTGGAAAAACTCCTAAATTCTTAAAGCCTTCCTTTGCAAACGGTAATGGGGTTTGCTCTCTGTGTTACGTGGTGGTGGTGGTTTGTTGCTGTGTAGTTTTCTGCTCTTTTGACTGAGTCCCACCTCCATCCCAGTTTTGGTTGGTGGTCAAGTTGGGAGTTTTTCATTGTATCCTTAATTCACTGGCTTTCTCTCATATGAGTAGTCTGCTTAGACTGGCAAATAGGCTGAAATTCCTTTTCAGGAAACAACTTGCCCTATAAAAGCCTTTATATTAAAGTTAAAAAAAAAAAAAATCTGATCCAAATTATTCTATTAGGGGCTAGCAGCAAAGAGCAGTTGAATATACAAATAAATGTAAATAAAAAGGAAAGTGTAAATAAATAGCAAATCCAGTAAAAGAAACAAAGGTCAACACAAGAATAATTTCACAGCTCTTTGTTAATTACAAGACCATTTGTGTGTTACTTAAATAATCATTAATTTCTCATTTACACTTTCCCTACCTTCCTTCCTACCCTGTGGCTATCATTGTCCTTTTTTCACCTCCCCTCCCTCTCTGCTCTCATGTTTCTCACCATTGTAAAATGTGTGTGGCTTTAAATTTGGCATTTTTACCTAAATGTGTGGAATAGGGTGAAGATAGTCTTTTTAATTGGTTGAGGCCTTATTTTCATTGTATTCATCTTTCTGCTGCTCTTTCACATGGGTTGGTTGGGGAGGGGGAATATAAAGAAAGAGAAGGAACTGTTGTGACTTTTGGTGACATGTTTTTCCTCCATCCCAGGATTCGCCCATCCTTCCAGTTGGAGAGTTCTCGGAGCCATTTGTACATTTCATCACTCAGTGGTGAGCCCGTTTACAAACATGCCATGCCCTCAATGTAAATGATACATGCCATTAACTCGGCAGCTCCGGGAGACCTTATGGCTCCCCGCTTCCTTTTGGAGACAGGAGGGACTTCAAGGCCTTGGGCAGATGGGGCAGCAAAGCTGAAGAAATTGTTTAAATTATGTAAACCTTATTTACACAAAGGGTCATAAGCATAATTCAGAGCCTTTTTCCTGATTTAATAAACTGCCGAAAGTCAAGTTACTTCTTTAAGCACAGATACTGTTGCCATCCTTTTTTTTTTTTAAAGAAATACACAATTTTATAGCCCCTGTTGAACAGACATATGAAGCTTATTTTTATTAATGTAACCTCAAGTTACCCATAAAACTGTCTGTCACTTAGCGGAAGCAGCATAGTTTATTAATTCATTGGATTTTCAGTAAATAACTTTTATCTTTGGTTTTATTTTAAATACAAGACTGGGGTCCCATTTCAATGAATTTTGACATTTGGAAGACTATGAAAACAGTTCATTCAGACCACTTTAACCCTTAAAGAACTGAGAGGAGCCACAGGGGCCCTCAGAGCCTCCAAGCAACTCCTCGTCATTTTATACCTGAAGAAGAAACAAGCATTTTACTGCCACGGGTTTTTTTTGCCAGCCTTCTGCCTTTTTCCTCCCAGCAGAACGGATCTTTCTTTTATTACCCCCTCCACCATCATTCCCCTCTTCCGTCATTCCGCAGGACTCATGTGGCCTTGGGAGGCCCAGGTATTCCCCTGCCCTCTCCCTCTCCCTAGCACACAGAATCACCCAGGAGAGAGGAGGAATTCGGGAACATAAGAATCATTGTCCTCAAAGCAGGAGACAAAACCAACCGCAACTCCTTCATAACTACATTGGTTGTCTTCCCTTCCTTCACCACAGTCCTCATTCTCCAGAGTCATGTGTACTGGTGGAAAAAGAATAAGCAGACTCCACCCAAAGAAACCCTTGGTTTTGTGGTGTGGCCAAGTAATGCTGTCAGGATTCTTGCCAACCAAAATCGGTGTTCACCATCCCCTCCCCCTCCCACCATGATCCATCTGATTATGCTAAAGGGAAACCAAGAAATATTCCTTAATATAAATGTCAAGCTTTATCACCTTTTTGACTAAGTGTAACATGTTACCTCTTAATAAAAATGTCTCATACAGTTTATATTCCATAGAAAATATATGTGGGGAAGAAATTTCCCCCAATTAAAAAAATTTTATTAACACTCTTTCTATTTATTTAAAATGCTTATGTAATATTCTGTAGCTTTTAAAAACGATTTTTACCCTGAAAAGATTTTATTTCCAAAGCATGCCATGTTAGAAAATGGAGTACATATTGATTAAATACTGGAATCTTGAGTTGTTTTGAAGCTCCTTAATGATGTTAGAACCATTATCCAGAAATATATATCCCCCTCTTAATTTCCTTTACATGGAATTCCTAAAACGCATGTTAATGTATACCATGTGTTTTACACATGGTAATGCTTCATTTTGAAATGCAAAAATTGAAACACAAACCATGCAATTCCTCTACTGCCTGGAGCGCCTGGTTTGGGCATCACACTCTCTGCTTGGGAGGAGATGCTGGATTTGTGACAGGATCGCAGTGCTAATCTTATCTCGCTGTGTGGTCTGAGACCAACCCGGGGGTGGGGCTGATCTGAGCAGCAGGGAGAAAAGTGGATAAGGCTTCTCCTCCCTCCCATCCAAAAAATTAATCAGCTATTATTTAAAAGTTTTATGGAGACAGAGGGAGGGATAACCTGTATTCAAATTTCCACAGATGTCAAGCAGAAATGATAGTGGGTAATAGCCTTGTTTTCCCAAGAGATACAGCTACTTTGGAATGTCAGATTAGGACTGTTACCAACTCCACTGGCGAGACAGCTTGAATTAGTTGCTAATGGATGCAGTATTTGAGAGGTGCATATGGTTATTTATAGGGAAGGCAAATGTCCTCGATGTCATTAATGGTTCGTAACTATGATTCTTGTTTACCAAATGATCATTAAATCTATTTTTAAAAAAAGTACTCTCAGCAAATGCAGAGATTATTTGAAGTTTTCATCTTGCTTATTAGAAGAGTCCCTTGTATAAAGAAAAAAGCATCTGTGTGATTTTTCCAAGTAATAGAAGCAGCAGTCTCTTTTCATGACTTCACCCCACGAACACTCCGAGTTTAGAACAAATACAGCCATCAAGTAGGCAGCTACCCACAGTCACCTCCGTCCCATGTGTGAATGCTTCATCACATAGCTAAGTACATGTTACAGCTGCTAATTATACCTATTGCATGGAAGACAAGAAATATTTTGCATGAGGAACATGGTTCTTTAAGCAGCGTAAACAAATTTAGCTGTCCCACAGCTGTTTAATGAATTATCAACTTGCCTTGTTGCCAAAACAAATGCAAGTCAAGATAATCTACAGCAAGCCACTTGTAATTGTATAGCATTATCTAGATTCCTGACCTGTTTTCTATACTTCTTGTCTTTCGGAGTCATAGTGGAGGGATGAGTTGTATTCTCATTTGACTCTACAGTCATTTTTTTTACTGTCTTATCCCAGTTACCAAAAAAAACCAGAATATTCCCTAAATTTAAGTTTGAAATAAATTGATAACTGAGTCAAGAAGAGGATATTGCTGCATTTTTCACATTAGCTTCAAAAGTAGAATGAGGATACATTTAATTTAAATTCATTCTTTATTGCAAAATGTTTTTTAAGTGAAAATGTAAGAAAAAAAACTTTTCGTTTCTGACTCATAAGGTACTGCAGAAATCTGCTAAAGACCAAAATAATACAAAGGGAATATATGCTAATACTTTGGCCAAGAATTGAACATGATGAATTTTGAAAACATTCAAATTCCAGTACAAATAGCCATTGGTAGAAATTATAGTAAAAATGTACAAATGACACAGATAATATGAGGATTTTTTTTCTCCACTATAGCATGCGAAAACAGCCAAAGGAAAGGCCAGCACCTGAAGAATTGATGGTAAGTGAATTTTTTTAGTTACATTAGAATTCTCAGTTATATATTTATGTTTAGCATTCTGTTTAAAATTCATTTTTTAAAACAGCGATAGGCTCTAAAAAGGCAACATTATTTACTTCATTTGGGAAGATGTTTTTTGAAGCTCATATCCTCAGATAATAGTTTTTACTTTTTAACAACCCACCTCCTTTTTGAAACTTAATTCAGAACTCTTTCATTTGCCTCACTCAAGGGTCACAAACTTAATGCTGGTTACTCTTATCCTCATTTGCTATTAAACCTCTCAGAATTCACAGGATTGGTAACAGAGAATATCATCAGCGCGATAAGTTTTTAGTGCAATTCTGCAGAAAATTTGTGAATATGGCTGGAGTCCTCTTAGATTCATGTAGAATGAAATTAAACTGGCTGCAAAAGATCAAGTTAATGTGAATCTTTGGTCTTTCCTCAGAAAGAGACAGCTACAAGGCAGCTTTCTTTGATTGCAAATGACAGTTTTTAGTCAAGCAGGGAGAGGAACAGAGATGCTCCCTAACAATTCCCAAATGGTCATTTATTTAGTGAAGATTGTTGATTTGACAATGCACAAGCTGTTAGAATAACATTAGTATCGAGCATTAGTAAATAATAATTATAGTCTGTTCTTCCTAATGTTTTGCATACCGTTCCCTGCCTTTAGATTACTACAGTCAGAGCAAATTCCTACCAATTTTCTTTTACCTTCTTCAAACAGTACGCATTTTACAAATAGCAGGTCAGAGGTTTTCCAACCTAGTAAACAGTTTCAGTGCCCAAACTTTTGAAAAATATGGATTTCATCCTCAAATATAAAATAACAGTACATTTCCTTTTTTTGTATCTTGAATGCTTTTCAGCAAGTTCCATGGAGCAAAATTTCAGTTTTCAGGCTAGCTTCAAGTTAAAGATCACCCCTAAAAACCTCTGCAATGTGTAACTCTGCAGGTTTCATGTCTAGAATAAACTGGTCTCTTTTTTTTGGGTCTCTGTGATGGTTGGGAAATTCTTGCAGTTAGTCACATTTGAGAAAACTTGGAACAGGTTCTAGAGATGGAGACCCATTTACCTTGTGCATTATTATGTTATGGCTGGATAGCTCAGCTATTAAAACAAAGGAATGGGGTTTCATAAAACAGATATTTGTTTGTAAATGCATGTTTCAATGCTGCAATGAGTTGGCCACTTATAAATAAAACATCTGTAGATCACACGCCCATAAATGTATATGGATGTTTATGTTGGTAAGGAACACCACTCCAGGGTGGCACATCATAAAGATAAGCCTAAAGGGTGAGTACTATCAGTACCTTGAAAGCAAGTGATGTGGATGTGTGTGGATGTGTCCGTGTGTGTGTGTGTGTGTGTGTGTGTGTGTGTGTGTGAGAGAGAGAACATACGTATTTAGATATATCTCTTTACAACTCTACACCCTGTTGTGTGCTGTCCCACATTTTTAATTAATAAATATCAATAAATCAATAAAATACAATGAAAAATGTAGTCAGAGGAAGCACCATGCCATACTTAATTTAACATTATTTCTAGTACTGCTCACTGTTTGATTTTAAATGAATGTATTCCCAGAGGTATAGCAGTGGTGAGGCACCACTGCTTTGGCAGGGCTCAGTGAGGAGGCAGGGAACAATAGACTCTATGTGAAGCTGCTGTGGTCAGAGAGTGGCCCTGCCCGGACTTTGGCCAAAAGATTGAGCCCAATACGGGCTCAGAAGGAAAGTAGGTTTTCCTTTGTCTTGAGGAACCTGAGCCACATCCTAGGGGCCCAGTCTTAAGGAACCAGTCTCTTTATTCCTTCCAGCATATTAATGGCTTTAATTTTTCCTTTTCTCTCCCCGCCTACAACCTATTTGATGGTGCTCCCATCTGGAAGCTGAGAGCCTCCTCTGGAATGCATGAACTGTAGAGCCCATTTGTCACTCTGGGTGGGGGCCTGTGCCTTTCACAAAAAGAGCAGTTTATCTCCCAAGCACAGTAACTCCAGCCAGCAGGGTACCAGTGTGGGCTGCATGGGCTGCTTCACATGTGAGGCCTGCAGGATTGTCAGGGTTTCCCTGTAGACCTCCATTTCCAAATCAAAGAAAGAAAATCAGAGGTGGGCAGGTGGAAATACTGGAAGTTATAGATTCACTATTTGGGAACTCTTACATGAACTCCAGGTGTGACCTTGACCAGTGAACACAGCAAGTCCCAGTCCAAGCAAATCAGAATGTAGGATTCGTGTGCCAGATCACACTTACTCCTAGGTCTGAGCCACGCAGAGTGGGCACTCAGGTGGTGAGGTCGCTGTTTATACCAGAATACCCCTTATCGAGTCTTAAAATTACCATCTTGGCAATGTCTGACCGTGTCAGTCTTAAAGATGGAATGTAAAACTCAAGGTTAGACTTTGCAGATCATTACAATCCCAGTATTAGAACTCATTGTTTAGTTATTTTATCCCCTCTACTTTGTGTGGTTGTTCTTGCGATGGTTTTCAGTTTTTATATCCTAAGTCAAAGTATTTTAAAGCTGAACCAAGAAATTCCTTTAATACTCACATTTGAGCTGCTGTGGTTTTCTGGCATGTACCATTAAGCTACATCAGAAGTTCTCTCAAAAGTTTATCATCAGCATCTACATCATCCTAAGAGATCTCAGAACTCAGTAAATAATTGAATTTGGTAGTTGATAGACCACTGTGCATCGTCTTGTCCTAGACACAGCAGAAGACATGAAGTAGAGGAAACCACACAGATACAGTCTTTCAGGGGATATAGCAAGCATACAAATAACTGGAATGAATTAACTGTTATAAAAGAACTGTGGAGTTTTGTGGAGATCCATTTGGGGAAATGAGGAAAAACTGGGTGGAGAAGGTAGCATTTGCAAAGGGCCTTTGGAGGATGAAGTAAATTATAATAGAGAGTTTTGAAGGGGCCATTCCAGGCAAAGGAAACAGGATGGGCAAAGCATGAGTATATGTTGGTCTCAGACCTTTTCAGAGCAATGTAAAGCCTCTAGTACCTGCTGGGACAGAAACCCCTTCAACATATTCACCACCAGCCGGGCAGTCCCTTAAGAAATTCCACTCCTGGCCGGGCGTGGTGGCTCAAGCCTGTAATCCCAGCACTGTGGGAGGCCGAGGCGGGTGGATCACGAGGTCAAGAGATCGAGACCATCCTGGTCAACATGGTGAAACCCCGTCTCTACTAAAAA